CCCATACTCCAAGAGCACCAGCACTGAGGCCTCACCTTATGCTTGTGGTTCTTCAGGAATAAGAAACTACTGAGCAAGATATGTCACTGAGTTGCCGTCAAGCGTTCATAGAGCCACGGACACCAGTTGGAAGAGTATCTGCACTAAACATTACCTGTCTGCGCCCGTCCCACCCTCCCCACCCTCTAGCCCTGCCCCAAAGGTACCAGCATTCCGAATACTTGTTCGTGAGCTTTTGGAAAGCAATCTGTCCCCAGAAGGAAAGATGGGATGGGGATGAAAAGGAAATGTGTTTGCATATCAATATTTTCAATGATATTAGCAGAGGGTTACACTCAACAGTGTATGGCATCAGAAACAGGACATAATCGGCAGGAATAACAGATAGAAGTTGTTTATTAAGGAAGAAAACATGTCAGGGGGCAGATGACTTAAGGAAATGATGCAAGTGCTTCTGTGAAAGGACAAATGAGGTCATACAATGTTATTGTACGTTGAGAAGTGAGCTTAAGTGCCAACTCAGTCCTTAGACAAACGTGCACAAAATCACGCAAGGCTACAGCAACCATTCTTGTCATTTTCTCGTTATAAAGGAAGACCCAGTAATAATTTCAATACATTCCTCTAGCTGCATTCTTTGTAGTTGTTGGCACTTGGTACAGAACTTCTCGTATGGTTTAAAACTACTAAGTGACTCTTTTTCCTTTCCCTAATGAGTAGGTAGAGGTCAGCTCTTTGCAAAATGAGTAAATTGAGAGAAGCAGCCTCTCTGCCTGTGGTGTTCAAGTGACCAGGCTGCCTTCCTACTGGGGGTGGATGGGCTTCCTCGGAACAATCCCCGCTTTCAGCTAGCGCCTCTGCTCCTGGCTCGGGAGGGTGTGCTCCGAAGAAGCAGCCTGGCTTCATAAGGAAAAGAAAGAAGCCTTTAATTTCAGCCCTAGAGGGATCACACCCTTTTCAAACACCCCAGGCTCCAGTGGGGCTAACGTTCAGGGGAGGCCAGCGTTTGACAAGCTCAACAGTGCTGTGAGCCCACACCTGAATTTAGAACTTGGCCTGGGAGACGGAGTCAGGACCCTGGCATATCGAATCAGGCCTGAGGACAAGGCTGGGGAGTCAAATACCAAATGAAGCAAACTGACGTGCTCCTGAAAGACGGAGCTGTATACACGTGAAAATGACAAGTGTTCCCACCTTCCTGGAAAAGGTACTGCATCGCCTCTGCCAAGGAGATGGAGAGACCGCCTGCCAGGCTGCTCCTGTCCGTGGATTGACCTTTTCTTTCTCCCATTCTTTCTCTGCCTTCCTTCCTTTCGTTCTCTGCCTTCCTTCCTGCCTTCCTTCCTGTTCTTTCTTTCTCTCTTCCTTTCCTTCCTTCCTTTCTTCCTTTTCTTCCTTCCTAAACCATATGGTCCAATTTTTAGGAGAGGACCGTGAGCCAGTGTCCCTCTTCTAAATGACAACGAAAATCCTGATCCTCTAAGTTCCTTAACAACATGGAGATGATTTGTCTTTGATCTGAAGATACTGTGAAATAGGAAGCACGGAAAACAGTTGATGAGCATTCTTTAATCTAATTGGCATGGTAGGACTTTGATTAACGGTCACTCTCAGAGGCAGATTTTTGCCTGTAGAATGGCATTCACGCTTCTTGCTATTAAATGGTCACCAAACTACCTTATAAGATTTAGGTGGACTTACAAAAGCAAATTGACTCTCCCCGAGCTGTACTGGAAATTTAGGATATTCAATTCATCGACTTTCTACAACAAAAAAGCAAGTGAAAGTCTGAGTGTGTGGACAGTGGGTTCCAAACTGCATGGGAGCCCGAGAGAAGGGTGTGACCACCCCAGCGACAGGTGAAACACTGCTCTCTCACTGTGGTGGCGAATTCACTATCCCCATGAGGTACAGTGACTTGTCAACTTCTAGTCTGGACCAACATACATGGATAGAGAATGAAAAGGAAATACATAACTTATATCTCACTAAGTATTCATGAACCAAAAATAAATTCTATTTCTATGTTATATTTACACAATTAGAAAAATCTAAAATGAGATGGTAAAGTCATAAAAACTTTGTTTAAGCCCCACTGAAAAGAAAACGAAGTGATCCCTGTGATTGTCATTCTTAATTTCCATGGACATTTAGAGCCAAACTTGGCTAATAAATAGAATAAACTGCTTATATGCAGAATTTAGATTCAAATACAGCATTACTGTTTGACCCAATGAAAGAGACGTTTACAATCAGATCATTCCTGAATAGCCTTTCACTTTTAAGAACATGGCTAGAAGTAACTGCACCCCAGTACTGAGGCAGAGCTGGAGCTAAAACAAAGTGTTCATACACACATGTATTTTGCATAAATAAATGAAATAACAAGACATAAAAATGACTCAAATCCGGCAACTGTGAGGCAAGCCCACACGAGTCGAAACAGATGACTTTTGTTCATGTCGTTTTCTTACAACAGTTTCACATTAGTCAGAAGTGATAAAAAATACCATTTATATCCAGTGCTTATAACACTTACGAAACAACATCTGTGAGTGTGTGTGTTTTTTGTTGTTTTTTTTCTTTCTTTCTTTTTTTTTTTTTTAACTACAAGCAAAATCAAGTTTCAGTCCTAAAGAACAGTCCTTTGTTCTCCACCAGCCCAGAATATTATTTTGGCATGGTCATAAAAACAAACAAAATTAACCTATTATTCTAAATGTTTGCCTTTGTGCAAAATTAATTACATACAATACAATGCTAGCCATACAGCACTCTACCTATGCAGCAAAATAAAAAAAAAAAAAAGGAGGAGCGAGGAGGAGAGAGCAAAAGCAAGAGTCAAAGAGAAAGAGAAAAAAATGAGTATGAAGTGAGGAGGAGAGGTATATAATCAAAAGAAATCAGTAAGACAATAATAAATATTCATTTTTTGAGAAAAAATGACCTCCTCCTCATTTGAAGTAAATGTACAAAAAACAAAGTTCCAATCCCCAACCAATCCTAAGAACAAAACATTCCTATCAGTACCTTAATCATCTTATGGAGAGCACTCCCAGCTAATGACACAGCCCATAACAGCTTGGCTAGACCTATTTATTGCTATTAGGTATGGCCTTGAGCACTCCTTAAATAAATATGAAGGTACACTATTTTCTTCCAAGTGACAAAATGGCTCAAGAAATCTGATGGGGCCGTTCCTATGTCCTGGTGATCAGATTCTGGGTTGTCCTATGAGGTGAACTGTCCCATTAACTGACATTTTCCCATTGAACCACTCCAGGTGAGGTTCTCTCCCCCACCCCTGGCAGTCAGTCCTGGTTTCAGGAAGGTCAAAATGGCAGGGCTGAGCTCACAGTAGATGGGAAAGGGGAATGAAACCTCACTGCCTCCCAGCCCATCAGCACATCTCCAGAGAAATCCTCATGTGACCCGTGCCGTTAATCGTGTTCACAGGGAGGCATGCCCCCCTCCCCACGTGGCCACTGATGGAGGGAGGGAGACAGAGGAGCTCATCTGCTGCCCCAGGAGTCATCCGTTCCCCAGAGTTAACAGTAGGAACATCCCCTATAGGGAATGTATTTCCCCTCCTCCTTCCCTATGGTTTTCTTTCATTCTCTGGATGTATCATGACTATTTGCCTCTATCTTTGCCTTGAGGCTGTCATGTGGCTTCTTGGATCCTGGGGATTTTGCAAAAAAACAAAACAAAACAAAACAAAAAACCTCCCTAGGTGTGCCAGATGCAACAAGGCAACTCATTGTGGAGGTGCCAGCCCATGACAGCATCGCTGTGGCCTCCTCTGTGGTCCACAACCTTGGGCTTTCGGCTTGGCTGCAGGACCCTCCTGCCTGGCAGTCACCACTGCTGATCCTTGCAGCCGAATGGCATTTAGGGGAAATGCCACTGATACAGATCCTACCACTCTGTTGCTAAACTGAATTAGAGGGAAATTCTGGCAAAAGACTTGAGGTCACAGAGAACCTCAGGGGCATACCTGTTGAAGTGTAAGACTCTACACCTGTATCCAAATACACAGCCCTACAGCCAGATATACATTTATGTTTAAAAACAATATAAGTATTTAATAGAATCTTGTTTCAGAAATGCTTCCAGATGCTCTGGGGACATAAAATCACTATGTACATCTTTTGTATGTAGCAGGAGAAGGAGGTGAAAGGGGCTGAAAAGATCTTCAGGGAAGGAGGGTGAAAAACAAGAATTATTAAATTAATGCCACCAACATTTTTTTTCAAATAAATAGTAAGTGGACCCTTGACATTCTGGAATGAATAAATTATTTAAGAGAAAATGTGTTAAGACTGAATGTCAGGGTTAAAAGGTGAAGGGATAATGGATGTAGTGAGAGGTGGTCTCAGGCAGAGAAGACCACCACGTGGGTATCTGGTGTGGTGAACGCTCTGGGGCACGCTCGGCGCAGCCCGTCACGCACTGATGGCACGTCAAGAGGCAAACACGATTGGGTACATGCACTGTGGCAACCTTGTTCGTTCCTTACAATATCTTGTCTCCAGATTCCTGAGTACTTTACCATTTTCTGGAAAAAAAAAAATGTGTGGTTTGCTATTTTATTTTCAGATGCCAAAGATTGTCTAAGACTTCGCAGTGTCTCCTTTAAGACTTTCAAAATATGAAGATTCAAAAGTTCTGAGAAAAGTTTGGCACATTCAAAGTTTAACTCTACACATGGAAAAATGGAATTCCGAGGCCTTTTGAATATGCTCTACACGCAGCTGCACACGCTGTGGACTTGTTCTGTTTCACAATATGAAATCTTCAGGTGTTCTCGCAAATAACTCAGAATAAAAACACATTCACAACCTGTAGGCCGGCACAGCATACCTGAGTGAGAATGTTTAACCCCATCTAAAACAGTAACTTAAACCTTTTATCAACATCCAAAAGGAAAAAAAAAAGTAAGACAAAAATATAAGACTTGTAAGACAGCGATGGGTTGAGATAAGTTTTCAAGTCCTGGTGTCTCATATTTAATATGTCTTCACCTAAATTAAAACAACAACAACAACAACAATAACAATAACGACAAAAACTCAAGTTCATGAAAAATCCGGGAAAACTTAATCTGTCTCACACTTTACGAAACAATTAAGACCATTCTGCTGATGTAATTATGGAGCCACAAATGCATGCGGGCTCTTTAAGAACTTTTTGTTGGGGGAGGGGAGGCGAAATGTCAAAGTATTTTAACTCAGCAAACGAACACTCCTCAGTTGGCACTGACAGCTTCCGGGGCTTCATTTTCACTGCTATAGTCTGATTTGGGGTCATCTTCATAGTCGTCATACATTTCCATTTCATCTTCTCCATTAATCATTTCGTTTCCAGCTAGGCTCCCGCCATCCGTCTTCATACCATAAGTGCTCTGGATGACCGGGAGGCTGGGCTCTGGGCTGGCCGAGGTGCTAGAGCAGTCAGATGTCATCTGAGGTGACGGTGTGGTAGTTGCCATAGTAATAGCACCAGGATACACAACACCTGTTCCTGTGGTGATTGGAATCTGAGGCTGCTGCCTGTATGGATTCAAAAAATAAAATGAAACAGGGGGAAATATCTCTCTCTATGTTCTTCCAGGTGGCACTGGACTTCCTCCCCCACACGTTCCGAAAGGGGGCTCTGTTTGACATTCTAAGCAAATGACAAAACGGGACCAAGTGCTCCCTTGAGGAGTCCTGCACATCTCCCCGATGCTATGGTTGGGCATTAAGCAATACAATGGAGCAATTTATTGATGGTTTTGAAACATAAAAGCAGGGTTCTTACAACATTACATACGGCAAAGCTTGAATAACACTTGGCATTTGAAACAAATGCGGTAGTCAATTCTGAAAGTTACATGTGACATCATTTTTTAAGATCTCCCAAGATGATAAAACAAAATGACTGGTAGCATGAATCCTATTTTAATGACACTGTTAAGCAGGCTTGTGTCTTCACCTTGGCTTGAGAACTGTACAAAGGAAAGATCAAGATGAGAACTGATCAAGTATGTCCCAGAGAGTCAGATTTAGCAAAGCATATATTTGGTACCCATGCAAATGTCTACCTATTTCTGCGGCTGAACTTGTAGGGAAACTCCTTTAAGGAGCTTCTATTTTCATAATCATGGAAGGATCATCTTGGATGTCATTACTCCTGAGGCCCTGGCCTGGCGCTGGGTTGGAGGAGTCAGGAGTGAAGAGCGGCAAGAGCCTTGCAACTTGTCAGAATAACACACATTGCCTCATTCCAGATCCTAGTGGGTGCCAAGGCTGGCTCACACCCGATCATTCTGTCATAATGGTACTCGAGTTCAAATGAACTTACCAGACCCTGTATGAAGGTCAGTCTCTCCCTCTACAGGGAGACATCACTATCTGCCTCTTAATTTCCCTCGAGTCATTGTAATTGGTTGAAAGAATTAAAGACCTATGACACCCACCTCACAGACTATGACGGAAACAATATTCTCATGGTTGCAATGTTTACTAAGTGTTCCTCAACCTTAACGGACAATAGTTACAATTTAAATTCATTTCAAAACATCACTAACTATCCTTTCTGAGCTTCAGTTTCCAAATGTTTATGAGAGCTGGGGTCAGGGAAGTCTTGGAAGGTCCTTTCACCTTTTAATACGATTTCAGGTCGGTCCATCCCTTGAATGGTTCTTATTGATGCTCTACAATACCGTTAAATCTTTCTATCCACCTCAGTCAGAAAAATACCCTGAATCTAAGAAGAAACAGCTTAGTTACCAGTTATTCTTTGACATTTCCAGAATAATTTTCTCAAAAAGCCCTGCATGTCTTCCAGCCTGGTAGAAGGAAAAATGATGGAAATGACCTAGACTCACTCTGGGAGATACCTCATAATGCTATCTTTAATAACCTTTTCCAAGCCCCAGAAGGCATGACTATGATTCCTTCACCTCTAACATAATATAGCCGATATTTTCGAATATATTACCTCATTCAATTAACATGGCAACCCCATGAAGTATTGTCATACCCAGGTTTCAGATGAAGAAAGTAAGGCCTTGTTTAAAGCCCCGCATTCAACAACCAGCAGAGCCAGACTTTGAAGCTAGGTCCCCTTGACTTGAATTCTATCACTCTTTCCTCTATAGATATTCAATATACAAATACACTATGCTCACTGTGTCTCATAAAAATTCCTGATTTCTACAGATCCTGTCGGCACCCAGTTGGCACTAAGCACCTGATATTGATCCATTTTCTATGATGCTCATGGTGATTTTTTTTACTGCCTGAAGAAGATGATAGAGGAATCTATATCTATGCATAGAAACATCTCATGAAGTACTGGTTTCCCTCTCATAGACTCAAATTCTAAAAACAGTATACTTCTGCTTCCTAACTTTTGGGCAAATTAACGCAAATTAAATTTCATGCTAGCCTGCCCAAGGCAGTGAATGCCTCATTAAATTTTTTACTGAACTTGGATAATTGTAATAAAAATATTTTTGCCTTAATCACATAATGAGTGTAGAGTAAAAACTTTTATTGCGATATTAACCCATTTTACAGATTTCCCAATTTGGTGAGCTAATCTATAACATAAACTCTACATACCATACATAAACTATCCAATGGTACACTTTCTTTTCATAAAGGACGCTCTTTTTTTTTTTCAGAAAGAATAGATGGTCAGTTTTGTAGTATTTTTTAATCAAAATATCTGTATGTATTGATCCATTAAATAAATTTTAATTGAGCTCCTATTATGTGCTGGGGATAACGCTTAGATGCTTATGCTTAGATGCTTTCACATTATCTTCTTTAATCCTCACAATAAGCTTAATAGGTGAAAATTATTTCCTCTCTTTACCGATGAAGTTACCAACTAAGTTTCGGAGAGTTTAAGTTGTTTGTCCAAGGCCATATGAGCACCACAGCCAGGAGCTAAACCCTTTCTTAATGTCCCAAATTCTCTACTGGATATCAAGATCAGGGTGAGAAAGGCAAGCTCACATGATCAGAAAAATACTTGGCAATATGAATCAGAATCAAACTCTTCTGAACTGGGCTCCACATATTTGACAATACTTGGACATTAAGTTGGTAACGGAACATTAAAAACAAACAAATAAAACATCTGTACAACTTACTTTCTGGAGTGAGGCACATGATATTCAAAAGCCTACTACTGGTGGTAGAGGGATACCAGACTATGTCACCTGCTGACCCCCTATCTACTTCCTGCCTGGTCATTGCCCCTCATTCCTTAAAGACATTAGCTCCTGGCTTTCTGTCACTCCCTCTCCAACATTTCTTCTGCCGTAATTCTTGATGACTCACTATCCACAGAGGTGATGATTTCAACACCTTGCTACCTCAATTTCTTGACCTCCTCTCTGTGGTAGTGATCTGGCCCCCTCCCTGTGTCAGCAGACCTTGTCCTTTCCAGCTATAACCCCACCCTAATGTCCATTTTAAACATCCTACTCTCTGACCACCACATCTTATCTTTCTAGTTTTCTTCCTCTAAAACCCCAGTTCAACAATTCTCCCACCCTATGGGCATCTACAATTCCTTGATCATTCAACCAATTTTCACTGTCCCGGTTCCTCCCCCCTCTGTCCTGACTTTACCTCTTTGCCCAGGATAAATTCTGTGGTTAGTCGCTGTCTCGCAGGTACTCTCCCCTCCCTTACACGGCAAAACCTGAACTCTCTGCCTACTTGTGAGCATTCCCATGCAGCTGAACTTGGCTGCAGGAGACACACTACCGTGCATGCATACTAGTCTCTGAATTTTTTTTTTTTTTTTTTTTTTTTTTTTACTGAGGGTTCTATTCTTTGAATTTTTGAGCATGAATTTCAAATTGGCCTCTGGTGCTATTCACCCATCATGTTGTATGTTTTCCTAGGCCACTCTTTCTTCTACTCTCCTAGAGAATTATTTCACACCTTCTCAACTGTCCTCGGATATCCAACTTCTCCCATATCCTCACTCTCAGTTGATGACCTGGCTTTCCATTTCATGGAGAAATTAGAAGTAATCAGAAGAAATTTTTCACAAGCTCCCGCCATCACATTTATCCACCTACCTCTGTCTGTTCTAATTCTCTGTCTGCCCTCCTGCATTTCGAATGAATTTGTTATCCAATGTAAGGCCACTCCTTTTGCTTCTGCACCGAATCTATCTGTTCTCACTTACTAAGGATCTCTCTCCAGTGACCGTCTCTCCCATCTGCATGATCAATTTTCCCTCTTTCCTGGATCATTCTCATTAGAACATAAACATGCCATAATCTCTCCCACTTTAAAAACAAAAAACAAAAAACAATAAAACTCTCTCTTGACTCACATCCCCCTCCAGCTACTGCTCTATTTCTCTCTCTCCTTTAAACTCTTTGAAAAACTGTGTATATTCACTCTCTTCATTTCTTCCACTAAATTCTTAAATCTACTTCAATCACTCCCAACACTCCACTGAAATGCAGCTTGTAAAGGTCACACTACCGATGATCTCCATGTTGTTAAACTCAAAAGTCAGTTCTTGGTCCTCAGCTTACTTGACCTATGCCATGAGCAGCATTTGATACAGTTGGCCACTTTTCCCCTTGCCGAACTGCTTTCTTCACTGGTCTTCTGGTCTTCCTATCTCATTACTGCTCCTTCTAGGTCCCTGGATGCACCTTCCCTCCTTATCAACCTGACATCTAAATTCTGAAATACCCAACGATTAGTCCTTGCACCTCATCTCTTCTCTATCTCAATTCCTTCCCTTGGTGAGCTTATCCATTTTCCATAGCTTCAAATATTATCTAGGTTCTGACAACTCTCAAATTTGTATGTCCGGTAAGCACCACATCCCTAAATTCCAGAGTCATATATGGATATAACTTCTTATTTGATTTGGATGTCAAAATACCATCTCGGATCTTACAGATCCAAAACTGAACTCCTGATCACCTCCATATACTTCTCCTTTCAGGGCCCTTCTGATCTTGGTTAATGATTACTTCATCTTTTTGGCTGCTTGGGCCAATCCGCGGTAACTGCATGTTCTCTCAAACCCTATATCCAGCCCATCAGCAAATCCTAGCAGTCCGCTATCAGGAATACATCCAGAATCCGTCCACTTCTTGCTACCTCCACCCCTACAAATCTGGTCCAGGCCACCATCAACCCTAATCTGGTTTATTGTAAGAGTCTTCCTCCTTATTTCAGTCATGTCCCCTTCAGACAATACTCAACCCAGTAGATAGGGTGATCTTTTAAAAACCTAAATCTGATCACAGTACTCTTCTGCTCATGACCCTTCCTTGCCTTTCCATCTCACTCAGGGTCAGATTCAAAGTCTTCACAATGGCCAAAGGTCCTTTCACAGTTTGACTCCCTACTACCTCTCTGACATCTCTGACTCTTCCCACCTACCCACTCTGCTCCTACTACTTGGGCCTTGTTAATTCTTGAACATGCCAATTGCAACCTTCCCTTCAGACCTCTGCAGTGGCTGCCCTCCCTGCCCGGTTCTTCCCCCAGAGACCCGCATGGCTTGCTCCCTC